CTGAGCAATCTGAGGCCACCATTTCAATGCGGCCAGGTTATAAATAACGTCATATGAGTACTACAAGCTCGAAAGAGGGTTTTTGTGGCTTTCAACAAAGGTACCTTTGGTAGATTTTGGGGCACTTTCATTCTAACCTCACCTGGACTATCGTATAAAGGCGCGGCGGCCGTGATTTGCAAAGCATGTAGTATTTTTTGAAAAAGGGCAAGATAGTGCAACAGAGCTAGTAAGAGGTCTAAATACACTCCTATATAGAAAGGCTGGAATAACTAGATATATTCCCTTGTTACAGCCAGCAAAGAGGTGTGCTTACCTTACTTTACGAGATAATAAATGTCCTTGAGTGTGGATTGAGTTTTGTAAAAACGTTTCAATGGCACCTTTCGCCTCATCTTAATAGACACACAATGAGGCCGAGCACGAAAATGCCCAGTTTCAACCTCCGCTCGGAATTCTCTACACACTGGATGGTAGAACAATTAAATGATCCCCGCAATCCGTCGTGGAGGTGACGTCCCTGCATCTCTTCAAGAAACGCTCGGATAATTTTATGTGTCCATTGTTTTCCCAGACAATCTGAACCCGAACTAGTACCACGTCAACCCCAGACAGGAGTTATTTATGTAGCTAGAGCTACTTAAATTTTGTGAGTACCGTTTTAATAGTGCAATGATGTATGTGACGCAACAGAGTGTAAACAAAATTTCGTTTTCAAATCCATTCCTATTAGCCTCACAAAATCAACTTAAACGAACTGAATCGGGCCATGGCTGAAGTCTATTTTATCGAAGTGACCGAAAAAGTCAAAAAGCAGAACACACTCAAGTAGTCATGTAGGAGAGCGTGACTTTATTCCTTAGGAACTGAAAAGGCTGAACGTAGCACTAATCTTAACTCTAACTCTACCCCTAAGGCTTACTTTGCCTTAACGTAGCCTCGCCATGTAAGTTCGATCTTAAGATTGACCAGCAACTAGAAAACACGAGGGACGGAGGTGAACCATCTTGTCTGCCAGAGTGTATAACCTTGTCCTAATC